GTCAACATGACTGCGTCATCTTCCGTCTCATGAAGAATCAGTGAGGGGTAGGGTGAGGAACATAGACCCAAGAACTCACGGGAGTTGGCGTTGGCGATTTCATTGGTCTCATTGGGGTCCAACCAGACCTTCTTTTTGCCACAGCGGAGGACGCTGGAGGCCAGCCTCTTCTGAAGCCTGAGCATGCTGCGGCAAGCGGAAAGAAAGCAGGGTCAGGCCCTGGGAGCCATTGCTAGGAAGGAACGAGAATCCCCGCACATCTGCCCTCCCGTCTTCCAAGGCGGTGAAGCCTAACCCACGGGGAGCGGATGCGCATGCGCAAACAAATCTTAGGGGGCAAACACATCTCCTCCCCTAAGACTTTTGCCATCACACTCCCAGATTTTCCCTGTATCATTCCCTCTCCCCTCTGGCAAATGAGAACGGGTGAAATCAGGATGAAGAGGGGGCTTATGCCCGTCCTGGTATTCAGCTCTAAAAACAAGTGTTTTAGACCTGATGTGCTAGTCTAGTCCCTTGCTTCCTGGGCTGTTTCCTTCGTCTCATCACAGCAAGAAGCGGGATTCAGCTGACCTTACGAGTTCTCTTATGGGCGGTCTAGGGAGGCGCTAGGCTTCCTCCCATGTTGGCAGCCGTAGGCCTGGGACCCAATCACATAGGCGCGGAGATCGGCTCGGATGCAGGAGCGCCCCGCGAGCATGGAGGCCAGGGCCTAGTCACCGCCGCGACCCTCCCTCTGCCCGCGTGAGTCGCCCCCGATCCGCGTGCGACGCGACGCCCCGCCTTCCGCAGCCTGCAGTTCTCGAGACGCTCCGCCAGCCCAACCCTCTCCAGGCCGGGGCCTAGGGTGCCGGGCCGGCCGACCCCAAACTCGGGGACCCGCCGCATCAGGGCCGCCTCCACCTCATCTCTCCCATCGGGGGCCACGGCCCCGCGCCCCGCCGTCCCCCGGCAGCCGGGATCACCCCAGGCCGGAGACCCGCGAGTGCTCACCTCATGGCTGCTGCCGCAGCGGCGAAAGGAAAGACTCACTCCGGCCGGGCTCCTCCCATTATCTGTGAAGGGGAGAGGCCATC